CACTGGTGAAGTTCTTCCTGAAGTTGGATATAAAGATGCATGCCACTTCTCTGGATCCCAGACACCATCACTAGGAAAACAAAATTGCAGGATTGTTTGCTACCTTGTAGTCTAATAAACACATAATGCTGCTGTGGGAAACCTAGGATTTACTGGTTAGAGACCAGTACAAGTGAATTATCCTTCATACTCAACTTCTAAATCTGCCTTACTGTGGCTTATTACTTCACACAAAGTATTTGGACCTCTTCTGTAATAGCAGGGAAGTATAATACCCAGTATCAGATTTTAAAAGACTAGTTACTGGCGAAGCTTGCCTGGTACACTGAAAAACAGTTCAAGCAGATCATATGGTGCTGCTCTTAAGCATTTGGGTAATTTTATCTCAATCTCATGCTTTCACAATAGATTCATCTGAGTAGTAAAGAAACTGCTGCTTAATAAACTTACAAACACCAGCCAAGAACACTCACCTCCATTTTTCAGTGAGGTACAGTGACAACATGGGAGAGTAATCCACTAAGCAAGGCAGCTTGTTACAGCCTGACCCAGTCTGTACTACACACCTATGTTCTTGGTACTTTTTTCTGCAAGTCTGTAAGACTTGTGTTGTGGGAACTTATGAGATCCAGCAGAAAATAATCTCTGTTCAAAGAACAAAATTCTTGGCCAGAGCATTGAGCCTTTCCTAGCAGATTAGTACTTCTGAAAACTGGACTCTGTAGCAGTCTGAACTTTGTGGCATGTATACCTCCCATCAACATAAGAGCACTTCTTAGCTAAGTGTTTTTTGCAATTTAAACTTTTACTTTGAAAGAAATGTATATAGCCTTTGTATAACCAAGAAAATACCTGTCATATTTTTCAGAAAGACAAGAAGGTCTTTTCTTAGAGTAGGGACGCTCTTTAATATCCAGCAGTTCCTCCTAGAAAAAAAAAATCAAAAATCGAGACAAGAGTTTCAATTCACACACAGACAAGATTTAAGTGACTCAAACCATCTATTCCAGAGTGCCCGTTCAATTTAGTGTTTTAATCTGACAGCCCAGGTTTCCCAATATGTTGTTTCCTATACTGTGAAATACAGCACTGAAAGTTTATATTTCAGTTGTTCTACCAGTGGCCACTGACCAAACAGTTATTCAAAGCACTAAGCCTTACTAGGCCAGGTTCAGTTTCTTGTGAGCACTCCAAGGCTGCTCACACCATAAATGTTTATGTATTCACTTCCCTGGACAGTTCAGCTCAAAAGCAACACAGGCATCATGGACACCAGAGCTGCTGAGTCCTCAAGAAGGAATCAAAACTGCTGTGGTTAATGCTACATAAGGTTCAGCAGGTAAAAAAAGCATTAGTACAATTTCAATTACTGGTGTAGATTTGGGAATTCTAGACAAGCTTCTCATTTCTGACCATCACCAACTCCAAGATATTATGATATGTGTTACAGCATTACCCATTCCACCCAACACCAAATCAATGCTGAATGATAACTTGTTTTCCCACTTTCTACCAGCTTTGAACAGCCCTCAGCTTACCACTGCACACCCTGAGCAGTCAGTCACTCAACTGGCAATCAGTTCACTCTCACTGCAGTTTGCTACATTCAGAAAGCATTATTAATGATGTGACCATCAGTCCTTTAAATCAACATTAACTCTGCTGCAGTTAAGATGCACATTTCTAGTTACACTTACTCATTCTCCCAAGATCCCCTTTCTTCAACCTGCCTCACTCCCAACTGTACTGAATTGATTCAGAACTGTGCAGGGATCAGTGGGCAGCTGGAAGGATAAAGAAATCCTAACAGCAGACACCATACATCAGCCAAACTGAAAGATCTCTTTACCCTTTCCCCCCAAAAATACAATATCCTTCAGAACTTTTACATAATTTTTTCCCACGTTTTAAAATTTGATTAAATTGATAAAACTGATTAAAATCAGTTCATTAACTATGTGAGTTTGACACTTGCTCTAGATGGCAATTTGGTAGCTGGACAAAACATCACCCAGACCCCAGGCATCACCGTGTATTAGACCTCAGCAAAAAGAGTGCCATTAAAGGGAGCCTGGCCTCCCTGCCCACAGCTTCCCAAAATAAACCTCAATCTGTGAGGAACATCAGTGCTGTAATACTATCAGAGCCTGATGCAGATACTACAAGTATTAACAGCCCTGTCCATCACCAGACTGGGAATGGGTTGTTTTGCTGGCCACGAGAGGGAGTCCACAGGCTCTCATTCACATCCTATCACAATTCTTCCACTCAAGTGAGGAAAATTTGAATTGTTTCTTGCCTTTCACTCATTAGCTGTGCACCCTTGGGGGAACAGCTTCCCAAGAACTAGAGAAGACACAGCTTAAACTGTAGAGCACTCCTGTAACACAGGAGATAAATGCTGGCACTTCCACCTGTGGGGTTTTATGTTTAATTCACATACATTCTAAGCAGGCTGAGGGGAAAATTGTGCTTAACTGTTCTCATACAGTTTTAAGCAGACAGCTTAGAACTACTCAAAGAATGAACCAGATTTTTTCCCAGTGGTAGTAAGTGAATATAAATCATTAAAGGAAATCACTCCCCTTTCAAAATCAGCAGCATATACCCTAAAACAGTGATCCCTCAATCCCTAATCAGTAGGAAACTGGAACACATGAAAATGCCCTACAATGTTGATTACCTCACCACCTTAAAATATTTGAGCTGTAACATGTAGAGAAACCATATGATGTAAAGTATTTTAACACAGACTGATTTCTGGTACTTCTTGATTTAGGCTCCTTGGAAACCAACTGATAAACAAGACTAGGCACCTTCTGGCACTAGTTCTGCAACTTTATCCTGGTCAGAAACCATAGGTACTGAATTAACAAAACTGAAGCTACAAAGGCATTGCTTTCAGCCAACAGCCACCAGCACAGGCTGAACATTGCCCTAAAAAGCAAAGCAGAAACTGCAGCTGAATTCAGTTACTACACAAGAGGACTTAGGCAAAACTGAAAGAGAATAGAGACCACTTATTCAGCAGGGGAGCTTTAAAAACAGCTCCTCTCTTTCACTTAGCAGTTAACTGACTATCTAGGTCTGAATGATAGCATACTTCGCATCCTCAAAAGTTAAGGGCACATCTTTTCTAAGAAGTTAGAGAGATTTAGAAAGCTGTACTATTCCCAAGAAATTTTGCCAATTCTGAAGTACATGGTTTATTGTTGATGTCTACTTAAAATAAGCTAGAACTCTACTATCTCAACAGAACACAGCTACAATGATAACTTCTTTTTCCTTTAGAAAACAACCTACTAAAAAGCCAACAGCTCCGAATTCCTCAAGAAAGATAACACAGTCAGCAACAATAAACTATCTCACCCTGTTCCACACTTCAGGCCATTTGCTGCAAAGTATCTTAACAGCTTTTCACAAAGCAATGACCACCTGTTCCCACAGCTTGCAGCCATGGGAAAATCAACCACCATTACAGACACTTCCCAAAGGCATTTTCAGCAGTGGTACCAAAACCCCAAACAAAATTTGAATCCTAAACCCTACAGCATATCAAGCTCACTTAGTACTGGAACAATCTTTTTTATTTGCAAGTTATTTGGCCCTTCTTCCTCCCCTCAGACATATATTTAGCCATCACAGTTAAACAAAAGCACCTGTGTTAACGTTTGAACACTAAGCCTTGATTAGAGTCACAACTGTTTAAGCTTCCAGCAATCAAATATGAGCAATTCTAAGGTTACAAAAAGCACCCAGTAAACATACGAGAGGCACTGATAAGATCTAGTGTGCTACACTTTCCCAGGAAATGGCATCTATTGCAAGAAAATATTTTTGGTCAACTTCTCAAAAGAACACTGCTGAAAACAGAACTATGAAGTGCTTGAGAAAGCTGGTAGAACAACATACTTCACTCTCTACAATAATCTCTCAGCACATGCTGTGGGATGTTCAGATATTAAAATAAGGTGGTGGGAATCAAAAGCATATCGAGGACAAGATTGCACAACTGCATCACATTTAACAAGCTGCTCATTTGATACCACTTTGTAAATCCTAATCCAGGCAAAGGCTTTTCAGCTTTCACCTCACTGTTTCCCTCTCACAGCAGCCTCCACCTCCCACTCTGCTCCTGTGACCGAGACTTCCACGCACAACTCCGAGACGAAAGCAGATGAGCTGACCTTTGTGTAGCGATGTGGGTATTTAGTTGTAATTCTGTTCAGCTCCAGGAAAGCATCGCCATTTTCAGTTTCTGTTGCACCTCCTCTTTTATCCATGGTTACTTCAAAGTCTTTGACCGCGGAGCTAATTAAAAAAAACCATCCCATCAGATTTCAAGACGTACCTTTCTAGAGGGTGCATTTTCTTTCCAGCCTGAGTCAGTTTAGCACTTGGGCACAGCAAAGTAGAGCCGCGCTCCCCAGCACCGCCGGTCCCCTCCCCACCCTGCCCCTTCCCCCGGCCCAGCCAGGCGGCTCTCGCTGAAGGCTCCGAGCCGCTCCGGCAGCGCGGCCGGCCCTACCCCGCGCTCCAGCGGCTCCAGCACAAGGAGTATCGGTGTGCGGGCAGGGCCGGGGCGCGCGCCCGCCGGGACGCGCACCCCCACACACCCCGCGGGGCCCTGAGGGGCCGGGAGCCGCTCGCCCCGCGGCGCGGGGGCACCGCGGCCCAGGCGCCGTCCCGAGGCGCCGGAGCCGGGGAGGGGAACGGCGGCAGTGGGGCAGGTGACTCAGCGGATCCCCGCCCGGCCGCACTCACCGGCGGTAGTCCCGCGCCGCTCCGCTCCGCTCCGCTCCAGGCCTCACCGCCGCCCGCGGCGTTTCCTGCTCCGGCCGTCGGCCCCACTTCTCCCCCGCCCGCCCCCGCTGAGGGGCCGCANCGCCGCCTCCGCTCAGCCGCCGTAGCCGGGGCCTCGCGCCGCCCGCTCCGCACCCATTTAACGCCCCGCGCGCAGGCGCGTCGGGCGCGCGCGCCGGGGGCTCCCCCGCCTGCCGCCTGCCCGCGAATGGGCGGCGGGAGGCGCTGGCGGCGGCCGGGCTGCGCTCCCGCCCTGTGTCCCCGCCGCCGGCCGCCCGCGGAACCGGCGTCTCACCCTGCGAGCGGTGCGGTGGATGAGGAGAGGCGCGGGGCTCGGTGAGGGCCTGCAGGCAGTCTGGGCGGGCAGCCCTGCGGGGAGGCGGCCGCCGGCGGGATGCGGTGCGCGCCATGTGCGGGGCGGCGGCGGGGTCGGCTCGTCCCTGTGCTGGGACTGTCGCCGTGTCCCCGTCTCGCCTCAGGGGCAGCGCGGGGTCAGAGAAGGGCGGGAAGCGGCGGGGCGATCGCGGCTGAGATGGGCTGAGAGCGCGCTCGGCGGGCGCTCCCCTCGCCCCGCGCGTTCGCCGTGCTCACGGCGGGCTCGGGGGCTGTCCGCCGTGCGCGGCCCGGCTCCCGCGGCTGAGAGCGGCGGTCCGGCCGAGCCCGCCGCGCTGCCCAGCCCGGCAGTGTGAGCGCAGGGTCCCGGTGTTCTCAGCCCGCACCAGGCTCCTGTCCCGTTGGAGTCTGGCGTTCTGTGGGATAGCGGGACTAGGTTGGTGCAGTCAGCGGAGCAGCTTATTCGGAGGCACAGCAAAAGTCTTTCAGTTTTTGCTTATGAGGAGCAGACACTGTTTTCAACATCAGTTTAAGGAGTTTACTGGGCGAGATCGCCTGCTCCGTTTGCCCACAGCTCTCCACAGGAGCCCAGCCGGGCCACAGGGTTTCCAAACACCCTGGGCAGCGAGGTCTGCGTAGGAACAACGAATTTCGTGTGGGATCTGGTGAATAAGGTGTTATCTTCCCTGATCTCTAATGAAGTTGAATACCAGAATTTAAATCTGGTTACCTATGGAATGAGAGAAATATACAAGACATACATTTCTCACTTTTTTTGTGACAGAGTGCTGCGTTATTAATGAGACAGCACTGTAACTATTGCCAAGTCTCCTGAAGCCAGCAAGTGCTTTCCAAACAAATACACGGGGAGACTCCATAGCAACCAGTGGGCCACCAGCCTCGAGCTGAGCGGTTATTCTGAGATGCTGTAGGCTTTGAGAAGGCCTGAACTATGTTGTGTTTCACTGTCACCTTTGTGCACGTCGCTGTTGTCAGCTAAACCAGGTTTTTTGGCTCCCAAAGGCACATCTGCCACAGGTGCCTGTTACTTGATGCTCACAGCAGAAATGTCCAGTGGCACAGAAGTGGCAGAACACAGTTTGTTCCCAAGTGCAGCAACAGCTCCCTGCCGCGGCCGCTCAGCCCCTTTTCCTGCAGGGGTCGGTCGGTGCCTGCGGTCGGTAAATCCCGGTCACACCGGGGCCGGGACAGCGCTCGGCCCCGCCCCGCCGCACGGGGGCGCCCTGCTCAGGGGCGGGGCGGGAAGCGCCCGCCCCTCATGGCGGGGCCGCCTCAGGCGCTGCTGGTGTATCCATCGGCTCCTCTCCCGTTTGCGGTGATTTCTCCGCTGCTTTCTGCTCGTCTCGTGTGCCGGTGCTGTATCCGCCAGTCCCGGGATCCGTGGCGGCTCCAGCGGGGCGGGGGCGGCTTACGCGGCCCCTCACGGCGGGGTTGTGGAGCAGCATCGTGTGGGTCTGCAGTGTTTGTCCATAAACACAAAGAGCGTTCAGGGTACAGTTGCCTGCTGAAGGGAATCCAGTGCAGGAAAACCAGGAAAATCTTGTGGGGTTTTGTTTTGTTTTCAAGCTGCTTTTGTAAAAAAAAAGGTGGAAAGGAATCAGCTGCTGATGGTGTCACCCTTGGTTATTAATTTATTTTTAAGTAGGGGCACATAACTTGGAATAGTTTACTTTTTACAGCACCTTTCTAGCACATTTTTTGTTTAGGTGGGTAGAATTGCTGCCTTAGGATTCAAATAGTTATAACTTTATTACCATTAAGTCAGCACAGTGTTGCTAAGTGAGACACACAGATGCTTTTCACGTTAAACATCTGGAATTGCATTATGCTGTTTGAGTGCAGCATAAGTCTGAGTGGAAATCTTGTCATTTTTATGATACAGACTGCATTTAGCATAGATCCATGTGCTGGACTCATCACAAGTAACAGGCACCAGTTAATGCTTTGTCCAAAGTTAATAAACAACACTGCAGAGGAGAGAGTGCATTTGTACTGCAGGCTTGGAACTACAGTCAAGTGGAGAAATTCAGGAGCAGGTAAGCAGTAATAAGAAGCTACTATGTTAAAGACCTCAGCTGTAATTTATTTTATATTTATGACATCTTAAGATTTCCATGGGACAGAAGAAAGTTGAGTTACTCTCACAGAAGGGCTTATTAGTCTCTGTGGAACTTTGTTAGGCAGAAAATGTTCCTCTTAAAAGCAAAGTAAAAAACAACACCTAACTCCCAAACTGATCATGAAACAACTTTATGTGGGTTTACATTATCATAACATTTACTTATAAAACTGATGTTCTTGAGCTTGAAATACTAGGCTGGATCATAAGGTTCTTGGACAGAGCTGTTGGCCCAAGCACAGATTTACTCCATGTTAGTTCTCTTATTCTTCCCATGCTTTTGTTTTCTAACTTTAAAAAGGAGAAATGATCTTTCTTTGACTCTTATTTTTCATGGTCACTTGCCATAAATTTTGGGGGACATAGGCTGTCATCATTAAATATGTGTAGCACATAACAATGTTCCAAATAGAGAAATAATCTGTTTAAAAAAGTTCATATGTTGGAAAATTATGAGATACTCTCACACCTTAAACTTTCATACAAAACTTCTGCATGTTTTACCCAGGTTTGATTTTTTTCAGTTACTTTGTGTAAGGTTGGCATTGTATATGCTCAGAGCAGGTTTACCTTTGGGGCAGATGAAATAGTTTCAAAGGGAGTTAGGTCTAGTAGGTGTGTACAAGAACTTGTTGCTGAAAACTGTTTTGCATCAATTTTAAAGTGCCTGAAACTCCTCTTCAAACGTGCATAGAGTTTCCTTAACTGCACATCTTGATGTGAAAATTCTCTTGTTGGCTGGACAGGGCAAACCTCTTTCAGAAAACATTCAGATAATATTTTATAGAACAAGAATTTCTCACACGAAATACAGGTCTTGTTTTCTTCCATTAACTTATTTTTAACTCTTGCCTGCTGGAACAAGCCAAAAATACTGTATTTCCTCCCAGTGATTTGTTGTTAATAGTGGTTATTCAGTTGAACTTTTGAAATTTGCATTGTTCCAGTCACTTTGTGAAAACAACATTTTCTTCTGGCTGCAGCCATGTTTTCCCTACCTCAGTTCAGGAGATCGTTAGAGTGAGATTTCAGATTATCCTCTTCTCTTGCCTCTTCTGGAACTCAAGAATGTGTTTGTGTTTCTAATGTGCAAATTTTCAGGGTGGTGGCAGCATTTGTTTTGGGAAAGAAGCTTCAATGGAACCGGTGCAGCAAGTTTTATCTGCATAGGTTTTTTTTTTTTTATCCTTGTTTTCAGAAAATTACTAAGAAAAAATATTTAGAATTCATAAAAACACACTTGTTATTTTTCAGATTAGAACTACACGTGAAAGTAAACTGTGTGGTAGAAAAATAGTCTAATTTTGTTTTTTAATGATGAATATGTAAAAACAGGAAGAGATTTTCTGTTTGTTTTTATTTTTAAGGAGAAACACAGTTAAAATATGAACAAAACTAGGGAAGAGCTTGTAAAAGAGCATTTTATGTTAAAATGGAAATCTCACTTCAGTTCACTAGTGCTCAAGAGAATTTATCAGCAGTAGGCAGAATACCTTGATATGTTTGAGACTGAAAGGCAGAAAAACACAGTCAGAGCTTCTCTGTCAAGACACTCTGTGCACACACAAATGCATTTCAGTGATTTCTCATTTCAACTTTAGAGGGGAAAAGGGTTGTCTGTGACATGATCACACTGAAATGTATCTTCCTGGTTGTGTTGGGGAAAGTTTAAAATTCCAGATACTGAAAAGCACCTGATAAAGAAACAAAAAATGTTTCAGCATTTTGTAGCTGTCTGTTTTATTATATTTTATATTGTTCTGTGTTTTATTAGATACCTTTGTTACAGACCAAGCTGTTGCAATGATGCCACTTCTTTGCAGGTAATAGTTTTCTACAAAATTTTTCTTCTTTCTTTTTAAGTTCAAAATCCCTGATGATGGATGAAATCCAGCAACCACCTGAGCATCAAGTTCATGCAGCTGGACAATCTGTTGCTGCCCAGTCTGCAACACATGAATTTCAGGACAGAGGTCATGACAAGCCAGGTCAAGATGGGTATACCCAGAGTCAAAGAAGAATGTTAAAAAAATTCCAAAGCAGGTGATCAGTACAAAACATATTTTTCACTAAATGGAGCAGGGGATCAGACCTGAAAATGTCTGGGTTTAGTAGTACCAGTGTAGGTTGCAGTAGAAGTTTTAGTTCATGGCCATGACAGACAGTTCTGAGGATCCTTTGTGGTGACTTGAGGACAAGGATTGACAGTCACATTTCATGTATTTTTTACTTTCAAAGGTAATTTTAAAAATGGCTATTTAATAATATCCTTTGATGCACTGCCAGGGGTCATGATTTCTTCTTGCCCTTCTCTAGTGTTTTTTATTTACTTCTTTTGTTTGTTAAAAGAACCTTGACAAAGGTGGGACGTAATTGTGTAGAGATTAAAAGCCCATCATTTGTTGAGCAGCTCAGGCCTCCCTTCCTGGCTGAGTGCTGTAACTAATCACCTTGTGAAGCCTTCGGTGCTTACTGGGGCCTCCATGTGCCAGCTAACTGTGAAACCCATTGGGAAAAGAGAGGGGAAGGGTGATAGGGTCACAGTAACACATTTGTGAGCTGAGCTGGTGTTGGGAGAAACTTGTGGAGATGTGGAACTTCTGAGGGAAGGTGGGAAGAAGGAAGATTTCCTGGCTTCAGGAAGGACCAGACATTAGATTGGCTGAAGTATTCTGGACTCAGCTGGCTGACCTGAGGAAACAGTGATGTTAGCACACTGAAACCTCAGAAAGGGCTCCCAGCCAGCCAGCACCCTGCTCAGCAGTACCACTGGGTGGAAGAGGGCTGCTTGGAAGGCATTTTGGCTACCCAGCACTCCTAAAGAAGTACATCCCAATTCAAGTTTTGCAGTTATGCTTGGGCCTCTTTATGCTTTATGAATTGCTCTGTTACAGATACTAATTTCAGGGTCTAAATATTTCATAAATGCATTGATCTCTGAAAACTAGACCCTTACTTGTATTACTGAAACTAATAAAAATTCCTATTTTCAGTACTTGCCTGGGAATTTGCAGAGGAGGAGTTCAAAGGCAACTAATCTTTCCTTGTATTCCAGATACCTAGCAAGGAAGTTTTTCTATCAGTGGGCAAAAATAACATTTGGACAAGTTCTCCCTTCCAAAGCCAGGTAGATAAAATTACAGAACTCAGAGGTGGAGTTATTTTTGTTTGTTGTTTGTTTGGTTTTTGTTTTGTATTTTTAGTAATTTTTTTTGTTCTCAGGTTTTTTGTTTTGGTTTGTTTGTTTGTTTGTTTTTTTTAATGGCTTAGTGGTAAACCACTGGGCGAAGAGAGTACTGGCTGCCAAGAAAATATTTGGATGTATTTTGAGACCACTTGAAGATTTTCTTTGGGTACTTTTCTTGCTCTTCTTGTTGTTGGTTTTTTTGTTTGTTTGTTTGTTTTTAATAATCATGGTTAAACTTCTATTAACCAAATTCGTATAAACTGTGTTTTGATAAAGTTAACCAGTATGTGCATATAAATGATGGGATGTGATTGGGATACCTGCTTTAAATTTAATTATTTCCCAAAGTTATGATGACAGATTTCACAGACTGTTCTGAGTTGGAAAGGACCTACATGGATCACTGAGTCCAGCTCTTAATACGAAATTCAGTTAATATTACTGTTTGCACTGTTGTTCTTAATGTATATCTGTGTATGTTTGGTATCTGTCTGACTTGGAAATACCTGTGGCAGATAATTCCTTTCTGCTGTCAGTGTTCTGTGAGCTACTGAAACCCCATGCTTTGATATCCATTTCTTGTTTTGCATTAATTTGCATGTTCATTCTTGCTTGACCACACCCTTGGGAACAGAAGCAGTTCCCAGTGGGAAGACTTGCATTTGGAGTAAGATCAGGTCCTTAGTCATTCAGTTTGATTTTTCTGTATCAAATATATTCTGTTTCTGCCTTTGTTGATAAATGGAAGTTGTCCTGTGAACCTCACCGTTCCTCTTGTCCCATCTACTGAGTTGGCACTTCTTTGGCTGTCTGTCAAGTCAGCACAATGATGAATTTATTTTTTAGGGGAAATAGGTTTTATAAAGACCAGCAAGGAGCACAAGCAATAATGAATTACCTTTCTAGATTTAAAAGTCCCCAGTTCTCCATAGCTGTAATACCTGTTAATGCATGTGCAATACTGTTAATACACCAAGTCCAAAAAAATAACATATAGTTCACTTCTTTTTTCTTCTTTTCCTTTTCTGCGTGAGTGCTTGGAATGACTTAACAGCTTGGCTCGGGGTAGGTGGCTGTAAATTGCAGCTTGTGAGAGGATTGATATGTTTCACTGAGAGACCTCTAGGTATTCTGGGTCTAATTCTGCTCTTATTACATGACAAAAACATCAGAGTATTATAAAATCTGTTGTAGCTTTTGTATTTATTTATATATATAAAATATTTTGTGTTAAAACAGCAAAGAACAAAATTAGAAAGGAAAATACATGTATTGTTATCTACTGTTCTGGTTGTTAGAGTAAAACCCAGAACTGAGGACAAAAGATGTGAATAGGTCTCAAGTCAGCTGGTACTCTGATGTTTAACAAGTTAACAACATCTGTCCTTTATTCCTTGTCTTTATGTGAAGTATTTACAGTCAGTAGAGTGATTGCTTCTTGCAGTACTTCACAGAGTCTTGAAATAAAGTGTCACAGTAGGGAAGTTTTAAATGCAATTAGATGTTGTTAGGCTACAGGCAGGCCTGGAGAAGAGGTGGTGTAATCTTCGTTAAAACTGATTTGTGGTCATTCTGGAAACCTGTATGACGTTTCTTCTGTCCAAATCCTTCAACTGTTTAGATGTTTTTATGGTCAGAAGATTCTTCAAAGGACTTCTGGAGAGTGGAAGGAGCAGTGGACACTTCGCAGAGAAAAGGAGCTCAGCCTCAAAGCAGACAACCATTACAGGTTAGTGAAATGACTTCCCTGGGGTGTGTATGAGACATTTTCTGAAGGAGTTTTTAGTACCAGTGAGCAGGTTCCATCCATGGTACATCTAGGCCGAAAGCAATATTTTCATTGCTTATTTTAATATTTTACTGAATGTCACTTCTTTAAATTTTTCAGGCATTCACTCCTTAATTTGATATTCAAGGCTTGGAGAGCCTATGTATGCCAACAGCAAGGAAAGAGGAACAAATATTATGTTGCAGAGTCTCATGGTAAGTGAAGTGATGGTAATTAGCAGTATTTGGGGGCATATTGAGATGGAAGTATCCACAGGGAATTTTTTACCAGAATCTGTGTCCCCTGGGCCTGTTTGCACCCTGAGCTCCCCCACCCCATGGTAGTGCAGTGCTTGCAGGAGCAGATGGCAGGAGGGTTCTGTTATAGGGGTGTAGCTATATAGTTATTTAGGGATGTCAGTGAATAAGCTTAAGAGCCATCTGCTCTGGATTGCACTGGTTGTTTTTGAGCAGGTGGCTTGATTTTTGGTTCGTTTTTTGGGTTTTGGTTTGTTTTGTTTTTTTTTAACTTAATCACAATATGTTTTTAAGTAGATGTTTTTTGATCAAATGTTTGATCAAATGTTGATCAAATGGAATTTTCTGTCAACTGTTGCTATAGACATTAGATAGTAATTCCCTGTGCTTTTAACAGCACTTATTTTATATCTATTGACTGTTCCTTCCAGCTGGTGTCTTGCGATTGAAAGAAGCCCAAACTTTTGAAGTGCCCTTTGTCTTATTGTGAGTGAGTGCCCTTTGTCTTATTGTGTAGGTTCTTTGTTCTGCAAGGGATTTGACTTGGATCTGTCTGTACTAGTAGCAACTTTCCTGGGTTCAGGGAATATGTTTGGTGAAGGGAGATTAACCCTTGTTTAGAGATGATACTGAGGTTTTGTTATTTGCAGAATAAGTTAACTGCTCTCTTTGCACATGAACGTAGCCTCAGAATGTCCCAGAGACTGGCACCTTTGGACACAAACTGACAGGCTACCCAGACTTCTTTATTACTGAGTGAGGCCAGAGTATTTACAGCAGAAGCTGTGTGTTACTTGGTCAAAAATAGAAAAAGGTGACTTGTTTCAAGGTAGGTTAATGCTTGATTCACGAGGAAGTCCTAAAAAAGAAAAGCCTGGGGTTCTTTTATGTGTGTGTGTGAAGTGACATAGAATCAATGTGAGTTTTTTCTAATAACGTTGCTTTAGTAGTGTCAGTTCTGACAAGCCAACCTGCTGTGAGGAGAATATGCAGTGTGCTGCACTAAGTGGTAAACTGGAATTTGTGACACCACTTCTGTTTTTAGCTGCATGACCAGCCTGCTAAATAAAGTTGACTTGTTTCTGGTTCATTTCTCTGCTTGTAGGAGAGAATAACTCTTGAAAAGCAACTGATGAACCTGATACACTTTTTTTTATTTTTAAACAAACCAAAGAGAATCCTCTAATTCTTGCCCAGTACAGTCGTTATGCTGACTCTTGTTCTACAGTTATTTCCCCTGTAAGCACTGAAGACAAAGCGGTTATAGGCCATTGTCCGATAATTCACGCTGCTCTGAACAAGTGCCATGGACCGTGCTGTCAGCGATTCTGAGACTTCTCACTGTGACACCCTCGACCAGAGGGAGGGTCGCTGTCATTTCAGGCTTTTCCACAAGGTGTCCCTGCAGGTTGAGGACACCGGGTCGGGGGCGAGCTGTGATGGAGTGTTTAAGATGTGCCACATTCCGGAACTTAAGATGCTGCCGTTTTTTGTTATGCACAGAAAAGAAGCAAACTCTGCTCAGGACCTGGCAGCACTGGCTGGTTTATGTTGCTGTTCAAAGGACAAAACATGGGATGCAGTCTGTGGCACTGGCGTTCAGGACAAGAAGCTGTTTGCGGTAAGGATGGAATACAAATGGGCAGAGAGGCACTGACCATAAGGCCATGGCTTTTATCTGTGTTATGTTATCTTTTCCTGAAAGATAAAAAGTCACACCATGGCTTCGTTCGGTGTTTGATTTTTCTTTTAAGTAATCTGTTATTTTCTGGCATGTGTGAGTTCTTCTGGCACACCCAGACTGTGAATTTAAGAAACATTATACAGCAGCTTGCCAATGCCTAATGGGAGCCTACAGGAAGGCTGGAGAGTGACTTTTGGAAGGGCATACAGTGAGAGGACAAAGGGGAATGGCTTTAAGTTGAAAGAGGGTAGATTTAGATTGAATAGTAGGAAGAAATTCTTTACTCTGAGGGTGGTGAGGCACTGAAATCTGGAGATTACCCACAGATGATGTTAATGCCCCATCCCTGGAAGTGTTCATGGTCAGTTTGGATGGTCAGTTTGGACTTGGAGCAGTGCGGGAAATGGAAAGTGCCTCTGCCCATGGCAGGGAATTGGAACAAGATGATCTTTAAGGTCCCTTCAACCCAACTCATTTGGTAGTTCTTTGAAAGGATTGTTGTTTATACCTTTTTCCAGTCAGATGAAAGTGATCTCTTGCGCCAGATTATGGCACCTCTGTTTGAACTCGTCTGTAACATTGTTTTGGCAGCATTTCATGGGCAGTGTGGAGAAGACAGCACTACCAGAAATGCTCTGGACATAAAATGAATATTTTGGCTCTGCAACATTGGGCCCAGAGCCTGCAATTTCGAGTAAGTCTCAGGAGCTTCAGCTACTGCCATTTCTAATGTTTAACTTGCACACATGTGAAAATGTTGCAGATGAAAAAAAAATTAGGCCTTGTACTCATTTACTTTGAAAATTGCAGTACTTATGATGGAATATCGTATCAGGACATGGGGAAATGCAATGAAGCTGTGTCAGGGCAAGTTCACACTGGACATTAGGAAAAGGCTCTTCCTGAGAGGGTGGTCAGTCCCTGGAACAGACTCCCCAGGGAGGTGGTTACAGCACCAAACCTGTCAGAGTTCAAGGTGCATCAAGTCCCACTTCCTTCTTCTTGCAGGACTACTTAAAACTAAATCAGATGACTGAGAGTGTTGTTCAAATGGTTGATCTCAGCTGAAGTGAAAACAGCATGGATTTCTTTTTTTCTTTCACTGGAACTGTGGCTTTTTGTCCATTTCATTAAAAAGAAGGGATGGTATTTAATTTGACCTGCACTGTAAGATGCAACATGGCAAATGCACTGTAAAATGCAATATGGAAATTTGACCTGCACTGTAACATGCAACAGTACTGAAGAATAGTATTGTAGGGCAGTATTCTGCTAAGGAAAGAAACTTGTGACTTGGGAAGTCTTATAGTATCTCATGATGTGATTCCCTTTTATATGAAAATAATCTGAAAGAAAGCCTGTTGGCAAAAGAAAAGTATTATATTGGTCTTTTTAATGGGAAAAAGTGTGAACGTATTTAAAAGAGTGAAAAAAATCTTTGACGCTTTCTATGCTGACATTCCTTTGGTGTTTGTTTGGGTTTTGTTGGGTTTTTTCCCCTTTTTTGGTGGGGAACCTCATGGCTCATGGCTTTCACCTTTAGAACTTACATGGAATTTCTTATTGTGTGTGTGTTCTTCCTCTCTTTCTCTTTGTTGTACTTCCCTAATCTTGTCTGTTTTTTCCCGTTACTACCCTTGGCCCTTAATTGCTCCTTCAGGCTTGGTTGCAGTGGCGAGAGCTGTATTCACACACCCAGAATGAAAAGCAGAGGTACACCAGGGCAGTAACTCACCATCAGCATTGGGAATTGAGGAGATGCATGGGAGCATGGCTGGGATACCTGAACCTCCACAGAGTAAAGAAACGCCGGAATGGTGAGTGAAAATGGTGAGCTGGGACAGAACAGGGCTCAGCCCCTTTGCTGAGGGCACGGTGATGGCTTTTTCTGTTCTAGGAGACACTGCAATGTCTCTGCCCACCCAGGTCATGAGATGCAGCCTGGGCTGTACACTGTGACAGACTTGGCTGGTTTAGTTCATGTGCTGGACTGCCAGGAAGGTCACCTGCTTTCCACAGGATTTAAAACAAAATGCTTTACAATTCCCTTCATGAAAACTTGTATATTGTCTCTTGGATTTTGACTGAGATATCTGTGAGAAGGATGTATTCAAGACTTTGATCAGTCAGTCTGTGAACTTTATTGATAATTGGTCAAATCACAACTCCTATAGGATGGTCAAGATTATTACACCAGTTCCTTTGTTTCTTCCCTGGAATGGGAATGATATTTATATTAATTGCTTTTTGATTGTGGCAGATATTTATATGAATTGCTTTTTGATTGTGGCAGTGGAAAAGAATCTAGCTTGGATGTGTAGGAACTAGTAATAGGAGTATGCTGAAATGCAAGCAAGTTTGAGTATGTTGCACAAGTAATGCATTGTCCTAACTTCCTTCTCTTAAGTCAGCACAGTAGGTTACTGCTTTAAAACTGCCTTTGTGATCAAAAGGAAGAATATGATCTGTAGCTGAGCGTTAATGTGAATTCTTGTAACCATTTCTCAGTGTTAGAGCTCATGTCACTTGTGAGCCAGTGGCTCAGATGCCAGGATCTCATCTGATACAAATGAGCCTAGGACAGAACAAGCCATGAGTGATTTGTCTTTGTCTTCCAGAGCTGGCCCAAGAGTTTCACCAAAGCAGGATGCTCCGGAGGTGCTTCTCCGATTGGCAGCTGTCATGGGAGTGCAGGAGAAGAATGCATGCTCATGGAAGGGACCTGGAAAAACAAGCAGCAAGGATTGCCTTATGGAGAGTCTTTGCACACTGGAAGCATTGTATCCAGGCTGTGTTTAGTCCCTAGCAAAGCCATGTTAGAAGCATTCCAGAAGGGGGAAGATCCAGTTAATAAGCAGGAACGTTGTACTGTAGCACGAGTGACAACAAACATGTTGTCATTAGGTGTATGTAATGCCATACTAACAATTAAACTGTTGTAATTACAGTATATTAGCAGCTGTATAAGAGTTTATTAGAGCCTGCAGAACATAATTTATGGTTGTTACTTAAGAGTGGATCAGAAATATATTGTAATAAGTCAGCAAAATCTAAAAGTTTAACTGTAGTCAAAACTTCTGCAGATAGCAGTGCTGGACATTCAAACACTGAAGCCAATTTAGATGGAGATGTAGTGCCCCTCTGTGGGAGAAGGTTGTTCTGTGTAAAACATACTTTAACTCAGTGACAGATGTTGTGCTGTGTGTGGAAGAGGCTCAGCAGTGTGAGCTGGCTGAAAAGCACTACAAGTGTCACCTGTTGGTAAGAGCAGTTATGTGCTGGGTGGGAGGGGCTGTGGAGTGTCCCTGAGTGTGCAGTGTAACACTGACAGTGGTGAGCGGGTGTTAAGTGGGATATACACCATGTTTCTAAATTTCAGCTGTTCTGGAATCTGCCAACTGAATCCAAATAGGGGAAACTGTGCTGATCTCCAGAACAGCTATTCATCCATTAGTAGATTGAGAGTGATGGGTTACCTGCTCCCTGGTACTCCACCATGAGACTGACTTATCCCCTTGATTTTTTCTTTTTCTTACGCTGTTTGCTACAAGAATTATTTTTATTTCTCTGCAGTAATGTGTGCATGGTGGTTTTCACAGGAGACCAAAGATGGCTTGCTGCAGGTGCAAGTAGTTGATGTTTTGGGGTTTTGTTTAAGTTTTTAGGATTTTTTTAAAAGAAAAAATAAATCCCTGAAGGCTATCTGAAAGGTGGGCACAAGCAAGCCTCCAGCTTTTTGGAACTGAACTATTTTCAAGGTTGGATCAGTACGGGTCATTAAAAGAATACCAATAAACTGGTTTGGATTATGAAGTGAAAACATTAGTGATCATAAAAGCAGGATGATTAGTGATTTGAAGCAGGATGCTCTCATAATGCTATTTACCATGTTCTGCCCCCACTCAAGGGATTCTAGGGTTGTACATCAATTCTAAATTACCTGATTTGGATTACAAATGAAAGTTGTGTTTATTTCTTGTGGTTACAGGAACTTGGCCTTAAGGGTCTTCGGCAGAATGTCCTGAACACTCGTCTTCAGAGAATGAGAATAAATCTGTCATCCTGTCAGCATCGAGTTACAGTGAGTTTGACTTTCTGTCAGTTGGTCTTGAGCTGTCTATTGACTTCCACTGTCACCTACAAAGTACTTTTTTATTACAGCAGTAGCTTTAAATACTAATAGCCACAGAAAATCTGTGTGAGTCGACTGCCACTCTTATGTATGTTTAGTTTTTCATTCCCCTGTGTTTATGGTGGATTTTTTCTTTTACCAGAAAAACTTGTAGGAGGTTAAAAAGTTTGGTATATGAAGCAGTGCAGGAGACAACCATTGCAATATGCAGTTTGTTAGGACTTCAACAATTTATTTATTTGCATTCTTCTCCTCACTGGAATATCTTTGGGGGGTTTTGTGTCTTTCTTATTTTATTTCAGGTGCTGCAGAAGTACTGGAACCGTTGGAAGTCCCGTTTGGAAGAGAAGGAGGAAGAACAGCAGCAGGCCTTAACAGCAGTGGCTCATGCCCGTTACAGGTATGCAGTGAAATATTAATACAGACTTGTACAAACGTGGAATCTCTGGGCCTTTGGTTCTCTTCTTAAGCATGGTAATACCTTTGGGGGCATAACTTAAAGGCAACTACTCTGACATTTTCTGTGAGTAATGAACAATTTATATCTCGTGCTTCTCTCTGGATGTAAGAGGGAGATCGGTTAAACCTAGCTCTGAGGTTCATTTAGTCAGCTGACATTCAAAAGACCAGTATGTTTTCTGGAGGAATTGTCTCCTGTGTGCTGACTTTCTCCCTTTTTGATTGCCAGGAGGGTGTTGATGAGACAGGTATTTGACACATGGCTGCTGAAGGCCTGCAAGCTGCAAGAATATCGAATGGGAGAGAAGAGGGTAAATGTAACTCTTGTATCTTGCTTAGGAAATAGAGGGGGTGATTTCATAGTCACTGTCTGAATATGAGTTAGCATGAGATGGACTTGGTTGTTGTAAATTCCTTTTCCCTGGTGAGGGAATCAAGTTAGGGGAAAGGGATTACAACCAGTATTTACTGATGACCTTTTTTAGGTTAAGCAGTTTGTTAATAATAGAAACAAGTTATTAGAGGATTGCCATTCACATAGCTCATTCAGTTATTCTCTCACTCTGTAAATGTGTGTGTGCTCTCTCTCTCTCTCACACAATCTCATTGTTACTTTGTTGAAATAATAATAATAATATTACTAAATGGCCAACCCCAGTCATTTAAGAATTGCAGGATTGTACTGAGAAATTAGCTGCTTCTAGGTAGGTGTCCATAAAGTTCTTTACAGGGCCCTTCATTTTTTAAAGGGTGTGTGTGTATATATGTATATAGTCCTGGAGTCTTTACATGTAGCAGACACCATGGCCTTTATGTGGTCTCTTACAGAACTCCAAGTTGCCAGTAGCACGTGTGGGTGTCTGTGCAGATATGGCTCACCCTTGGTGAAGGGAGATTATCAGTTCTTGTACATTCAAGTACTAGAATGTACAGGACTAGTTTCTGGAACTTATCCGTTCTTGGGAGTCCTTCACATGCTATTTATCAGCTTGTGTTTTTCCTCTCTTTGGCTTGCTGTTTTTTGGTAACAGCTCCTCCACCCACATGCACACAGGTACCTGCAGAGCACGTTACGTAGCCTCACCACAAAGGGGCTTTGGTGGTGTGTCCATTGCTCTTCAACCTCAGAAAAACAAACATTGGACAGTTCCATGCATGTCATCTTTAAGGAGATGTTTCTTGTTGTTTGTAGCTGCCTGTGCTGTGCATTCATTGCCTCCCTCCCTCCATCTCAGGCTGTCCTCCATTTTGAAAGGCAGCTCTTGCTCTGCTCCTGGTGCTGCTGGCGGAGAAGAACAGCTGCACGTTTGGAGGAGCAGGAGGGCTTGGTTCGTGCAGGAGATCACTACAGTAACCAGCTGCTGCTAAAGGCCTTCTGTCTCTGGAAACAAAAGACTCAGGAAAGAGAAACAGAGTAAGATTTATTTTGAAACAGAGAATGATTTGGATTGGTGCTGTGGCAGCCTCCTTTGGACAGCATTTAATTCACAATGGTGCTCACTCCTTTTTTGTGCTTTGGAGTCTACTAAGTTGTCTTCAGTAAGTGAATTACTGAAAATAACAAATGTGGATTCAAGTCTGTGCTAGAGGTGTCCAGTAACATGGATTGCATTGTAGGACAAATAATTATTTTTCTTATAGGAGGCGCAAGGAGACAGAAGCATTAAGATTTCACTGTTCAAAGTGTCTGCAGCAGACTTGGAACAAGTGGAGAGAGGTAAGAGAGTTAGCAGATGGGAAAGAGCGTGAAGTCTTCCTGTTATGTTTTAATTGCTTGTACCCATATGGCTAGAAGTTAAATTGTTTATTTTAAACACTAGTCATTCCTAAGCTCTCCTCCCTTTTCATATGGATAAAACCAATTTGATGTGGGTGGAACAGGAACTGTGTAGGGAGAAGAGAGAATTATTTTTGTTTATGTGTGTAGATATGGTGAGAATAGGAATATGGTTTAGATGCACCTGGGAATGCAATCGGAGTTAGTAGACAGTACTGACTGTTCCTAGTCAGTACTGGGTGTGTTCTTCTCAAAAGTTAGAAGTTTGCAGCCAGGCCTTTGTGTATGACCTGTATTTGTATTACAGGTTGTCACAAACACAGAATACTTTCATGGTGGGCCTCTTTTCCTTACCATGATTTGAGGTACCAGATGTGCCTTGCAGCATGTCTTGAAAATCTATGATAAATTTTATAGTTGAAGCTGCTCTGCTGGTGCAGACCTGTTAACTTGAGTGGTTTACGTCAGTCTTCAAGAGGATTCCTACAAAGGGCAGGAAAAAAAGGGACCTCAGATAGGCCTTTTGGGGACATAGGAGAGTGCAGCACCAGTAACAGCTTTGAGTGAAAAGCTGTTACAGCAAAGTGAAGGATGGATTCTCCAGAGAATGGAAATGGTCTTTTTCCCTCCTCTCTCTGCCATTACTTGTTTTCCCTCCTTCATGTGTACGTATCTTTTGGTTTTTTTTCATTTCCTCCTTCTAGTATGTGGGACATCAGCGTGAGAAATGGAGGAAGCTGGTGCAAGCAGACCTGCACTATGGACGTGTGTTGTTGGGCAAGACCTTGGCAGCTTGGAAGGTAGGATGGAGCAGCCAGCCTTTTTGAGACACTTGTCTGTATGTGCTGTAGTGTTTCAGTGAGAGCTGAAGAGCTCCCACGCTGCTTCACTGGAGGCACATACACACCAGATGTGCAAGGTAGAATGGAGGCTCTTGTATGTAGGGCTCTATGAGCTCTGGCGCTGCTTTTTGGAGCAGAAGAACCAAGGTAATCCTGTAGCACTGGTGAATGGTATATCACAGCTAGCATTAACTATTGTGTAGTGACTGCTTGCTACAGCAAAACAGCATTTGATTTTAGTGGCTGTATTTTTTCCCCTGTACTTTACTGCCAGTATTGAATTATTGCCATAATTCAATACTTACGAATTAGTAAGAGTTAGTTAGGTGCTAGTTAGAGTTTCTAGATGTTTCCTCTCCTCACAGGTGTTAACAGTTGAGGTAAATTTACCTCTCAATACTATTTTTTTCCAGATTTACCAACAAAACGTGCAGTGCATTCTGTATCAAGTAGCTGAGAAGGAGAAACAGCACACTCGACTGCTGCTGCGGTGAGCCTCCTCCTAGGCAGCATCAGAGAAGTGACTGCACTGCAGTCAAATTTATTACTTCCTTTCACTGCCACCTTTGTAACTTTTTGAATGTTCAGTGCTGGGAATTGACTCTGCCATGCATTGCTTTTTCTTTGCAGGAAGTTCATCTAGTTAAAAGAAATCAACCTCTTCCTGTTTGCTATCTGTTTTGCTTGAATATTTTTTAAATCCCTGTTTAGTCCTGCAAGAGTCATCAGACAGCAAACTGCATGTTTATGCTATTAACTACATCTGTTATAGTATTAAAGCAGCCTGGAAGATGCAGAGCCTGTCTTGCATTACAGTGAGGAGAGTGATTAAAGATACTATCACATTGCATTGGTTGTAGTTATTTAGTTACCTTATTTTAATGCTATACAGCTTGAGTCACTTGCAGAGCCTGACTGGCTCAGCTGAAGCTGCTGGATTTCAGACTGTGTTCTGTTTTGCACTGCCTTCTCTTCAGCAGAGACCTGAAGAGGCAGAAGTTGATTTGCATGACTGAGTTTATAGCTGGTTGTGGTTCCCTTGTGAGTAGGAAAGTGCCAAGTGAACAAGTAAGAATCATTCTTAATGGATTTGTTTTTAACTTTTGTGTGTATTTTTGCCTTCAGACAGGTGCTGTGTACGTGGAGAGAAAATGCTCTTGCTCTTATACATGAATCTGAGGCAACTACTCGGGCAGATGAGCACTACAGGAGGGCAATCCTGTCAAAGGTAGGTTCTGTACAGCAGGTGCCAAGATCTCAGTACAGCTGCTGGTTCAGGCAGGGGTCAGATAATACAATTAGAAGGACCAAAAACTTAAATCTGAGAGCCACTGCTAGGAGAGATCTGCAAAGTGGGAGTCTCATCTAGTTTTTACAGGTGTCTCTGAATCTTGTCTTTGTGAGCTCATGGCTTTTTTCCTTCCTTCCTCTCATTCCTTAGAAGGAAGGAGAAACCAGTAGCATGATATAGCATAGTAGAATTGGTGTGTGGGGCAGGGAGGGGATGGATGAAAGCGAAGAGCGCCTTGAAAAAGGCCAAGGGGACTCTCTGAAATACTTCTGCCTTTAATTTGTAGGAAATTCTGTCTGCTGAGCCTTATGTGAAGAATGAGGTGGAAATGCTACCAGTCATGTAGGGAGTACACTGTGTCCCCTTCCATTGCAGTGCCAGTCTGTGTCCCATCTCCTGTTTGCATTGTATCCTTAGGTGCTGCTGCAGTGGAGAGACACTGCCTGGCTACGAGCGTGTCACCGCCACCTGAAGGTGACAGCTGTGGTGGAGGCCAGAAAACAGCTGGATTTAGGTGAGCTGATGTAGATGTTGAACTCTCAAAAGTCCTCATTGTCTGTGAATGAGCCAAGGGCAGTGTGTTGTGTCATCTGTACAGATGAAGTGACTGGATGATCTGTTGTTATAAAGGATGTCCCCTCAGAATGGAGAGTGAATTGGGACTCCAGCGATCTGCTGAATGCTGCTTGTGTTACTTTTGTTTCTCTGTTTGTCCTTTGTGCTATATAACGAATGGTAACACTTCCTTCCTCAAAGGAATTTTCCATTACTAATTTTGAGAACCTCAGACATCTGTTTTGAGGGCAATACAAGTAGTCTTATCAATTACTGCTTCAGTCTTTCTCTAGTAATTCTTACTGAAAGACCCTCGAATTCTGCAAGCATTTTCATGGTACCATGGTACATTCTTGACACGAGGACTCTGAAACACAGAGGGCTTTCCTAAAGGTTGTAAAGAATGTCAGTGGCAGCAAGGAAGACTTGCAAGTCACAGCTCCCTGTGTGTTACATTAAGTGTTTCACAGTTCTTCCAATACTGAATACTGTCAGTGCTGAGTGTTGTCCAAGTTGAATATTGCTGAAAGTTGGGAAGAGTAGCTGATCACTTGATACTCTGAGATTAATAGTCTCCTTTTGGTACATTAATTAATTTATCTTACCCTAACAGTGCATTTACAGAGCCTGTTTATGCACTGGAAGGAATTAATGAGGGATTCTCTGATGCTGAGGGCTAAGCACCACAGGGCAGTGCAGCACCACCAGCAGCACGTGCTCCAGAAGTACCTGGTGAAATGGAAAAATTATCATCAGCAGTGCCTTGGGAAAAAGGTGAGAAGGATCAGCAACCTCCACAGCCTCTGGGAAGTTAGGGGTATGGAGGAACACACTGTGCTCCCTGGTGAAGGGAATGGCAGTCTGGGCTGAGAAGGAGCAGCCAGTATACTCCTTTTGTACTGAGGAGGAAGGAGCATGGCTGTGTCTTGCCTGAAGAAACTGATAGAAGTAACAGACTTAACAAGACAACCTGAGCTTACTGCGAATGAAATCCCTGCTGGGCTCATAGATGTCTGCACATGGGATTATTCTGTAGGGCACTTGGGTATTGAGGGTGGCCTCAACAGAGCAAAGCAGGGTGATAAAGGCTGTTTACTAGCTGTTCTTATAGCATTTGGCTAGATAAATGGGGTTTGTCTGCAAGTGACTCACTATTTTGGTTGCCTTTCAGCTGCTGCAGAGGAGGGGAGATGAACTAATGACTCATAGACTTTGCTCTGCTTCCTTCTCTTGCTGGAAAACTCGGGTAAGGAATTTTCCCCTGGGTAGACACCTAGCTCCTTGCTAGTAATTTTCCCTTCTCCTTCATGTTCTGTTTACACAAAGGCCAAGAAAAGTTTATTTAAACATTTTCAGGATTTTTTGGTTCAGCTAGCACAAAAGACACCTTGCCATATACTGGGTGAACTGAGGGTTTTTCTGCTCTGGCTCTACCATCACTTCCTCCTTGCTTGGTGATTTGGCTGGTGTTCCTGGTGTTGAGTATGTGAGCTCCTAACCTGGTTGCTGTGCATTTTCTTTCCCTAATAGCTGTTGCAGCAGCAATGGGAAAAGCGGAGGACAGTGCAAGCATTGTGGCACTGGTCCCTTTCAGTGCAGAGAAAGGTAAGGGGCTGTGCAGGGCAGGGGCAGGCAAGTGAGTTTGATGATGTGCAGATCATGTGCAGATTTGGCTGCAGTCAGCAGAGTGCACACTGAATGTCTGTTTCCTTTCCTCTTTGGGGTTCTGTATGTTACTTTGGGATGCTGGAAGACCCCTTGAAATTTCTTAGCTGATTAAAAAATATTCACATTTTTCCCCATCTGGCCTCAGCTGACTTAAATCTCTGTCCCTTTGTTGTTGTGTCAGTGTCCTGCTGTTGCTGCATCTCTGCTTATTCCTATCCAGTGGAAGGGAGAATGTTGCTGTCTGCAGGGGGAGTGCCTGGCCTGGAACCTGTCTGTGTAATAGCTCTCATTGTTCCTGTTGTAGGTATTTGATGCTTGGCTCAGGTTTGCCAAGGGCCAGCAGGAGAAGAAAGATGGCACTGAAAAAGTCACAGGAGTTCACCACACAACTCCTTTGAGAGAAGGTGTAACCTGTGACTTGAGAAACACTGCTGGCATCAAACAGCTGCAGGGACAGCTCCATATTCAGCCCCAGGTGGAGGTGAAAGAGAGATTGCTCAGTTATATATCCAGAACTGGGCTGCTCTGCTCTCTGCTCTGTGTGTGTGTGTCTGTGCATGTATGTATCTTGTAGTTCCACATCCCAGCTATTGTTTAGATCCTACATGCACTTCTGTCTCTGGTTCAGAGCATTTCATTCATCTGAGACTAGAGGGTTTCAGACTCATTAGGAACCTTTCTTAACGAAACTATTTTAAAACTGGCCAATTTCTGCCATAGCCAATACTCCTGATTAAAACCTTTGCATGTGGGTCAGGTCTCTAAATTCTGTGGTAGAATGAAGCATTGGAGACTACATCTGATCTTGTCTTAGCTTCAGCACTGCTTATACCTTCATATGTGGGCTTGTGTCTCTTCTGCCTGTGAGTATCAGCCCAGCTCTGTGTGTGAAAAGGATGCCTGGATTGACTGCTCTCTTCCTGCTTCTGGGCAGCATTCCCAGCTCTTTTCCAGGTTTTCAGGATACCAGTTGTTCCACTTGCTAATGTGCAGCTTGCCTTGGTGCAGAAGTACCCAGTTAATTCTCCTCACTCAAATGTTACCACAGAGACCTTTTGATTTAGTTTAGAGAGCTGGTATGGCTTGGAGGGCATCAGAAATCTTGGTTCCTTCTCTGTGGTGCTTCCTGCTCTCAGCCATCAGATACTCTGCTATTCTTTGTGTTGGCAGGGCAGCCTGCAGTCTTCACCAGTCATTGTATTGTTGTGCCATGCTGTGGAAACAGAGGCTCTCTCCCAGAAATTAAATAAGTCTTTTTCTTTTTTACCATCTCTGAAGAAGCAAGTGACATTTAAAAGGCCTGATGTTAGTCCTGAGACAAGAGGACATTCATCAGAGGAAGAGCCATGGCCTTCAAAATGCAGACATCTACCACTTCACCCTGCTGAGGGGGACTCAGTGCTCCGTGGCCTGTGAGTGTAAATTTCCAGTCCCTCCCCTGTTTCTCTGGCATATAAGTAACTTTGCATATGTGTAATCTATCTACACATGCCTCATTTTTGTGTTTCCAAGTTTTCTCATTGATGACTTAGTTCCATGCATTCTCCTTAGTGCTGACTCTGTATCATGTGGCTGGTGGTACAGAGTTATACAAGAGCTGCTGTGTAATGCAAACATCAACCCACACATAGGGAAGATATTTGTGACTGTACTTGCCACTGCCAGGTAGAACCAGCTCAGCTATAGATCTTCCACTTTGTGTTTTTTTAGGCAGAACTGAATTTGTGGAGCATTGGCCATTTGTCATAGGAACAGTTATATAGAGAAACATTGAAAGATACCTTTGATGGGACTTCAGACATTGGGAGAGTTTATCTTACCAAGTGACCTACTGTCACTGGAGCTCTTGTTTTTTGCACTGAAGTCACCTGATGAAATGATGAATATCAAGATCTTGGTGTATAGAAGTTGAAGTTTCTTCTTGCCCCTTTCTTTTCTCTGGGGAAGCTATTCCTTAAAAAATTCCTATTGATCTTGGGACAGTTGCAAGGAAGAATTGTCTATGAATCTTCTCAATGCAGGACAGGAACCCTACAGGGAAATAAGATTGTAACTTCATATTGCTGTAAGCAAGTATATGCTGCCAAAAGAAGAGTTTCTACCCTGTTCAGTTGTATCGCTTCCACTATTCTTTGTGTCGGCACCACCATTCACATGGTGAACTAGATTCTCACATTAATACAAGTTGACATTTAATCTTCGAGAATCAGGATTGCATGCAAGGAGAATGTTGCAGAGCAGGGATGAATGATGAAACAGGACTGTTTCCTTAGCTGCAATGCCAGCTCATGCCAGTTTACAATAATCATAAGTCTGGAGCATTCTTGGTTTTGTTTTTCTTTTCAGAAATGCCATTCAACGAGCCAGGTTAGCACCACGGAAGCCTGACTTCCCTCTGGAATCTCTAGAAAGCAAGGAACTGCTGGGACCTCCTTTTATTAGGTAGAAAATCTAATTTTAGAAGTAAAGAGAAGAGGGTGACTTACAGTGGGCATAGTAGAGCAGCTAACTGGAGAGCTGTATGCAAGGGGATGACAGGAGTCTCCCCTTTTTTGCACTGACCCAAAGGACAAGGCCAACAAGTTGCAGTGTATAGTGACCTTATCCTTTTTCCTGTACAGGTCAGAGGTGCCCTTTCAGCAAAAATCTGTGAATAAATGTCCTGCACAGACTGGGAACTTCATGCTGACGCCTCACACGGAAGAAAGTACCTGTAAATGTCTGTCTCAGATGGACAGTGCTGCTCATCCCCATCCCTCGCTCACTTGTGCTTCTCTTCCCCTGTGGACACAGGACAAGCACAGAGCTGGGCAGGGGCCAGAGCTGTGGTCTCCTGCATCTTTCATGTCCCACATGAAAGCTGGCTCAGAAGAGGTGAGTGCATTGCTGAAGGAACAGTTAGTGTGTGTACTGGGCTGCTGCCAGCAGGCCCATTGCTTGCTGCTGTGTTTTCTTGTGGTTCTTCTGAACTGCCCTGGTTGAGCTGGTTTTCACTTGTTCTAGATGTTATCTTTAAAGCTGACCAAGTGAACAGCCTCTGAATGCCCAAGAACTGTTTACCTTTAGTCTGAAGCAATCCACATGTGGGGTTCTGTATTTCATGTCTTTTTCCTGTTTGTCTTCCTGGCCAGATTTTTCCTAGCAAGTGGTGTGAGGGTGCTGCCTCTTTGGAGTTCAGAGCAGTTACAGTTTGCTGTCCAGATTGCAGGGATTTAAGAGAAACTCAGCTTAGGAGCAGTGTGTGTGTCTGACAGCTTCAAAAAATTGAAAGTCACTTAACCTGCAAGTAGGTGCTTGCTTTTTGAATTCCTTGTTCCACACAGAATGGGAAATTTTAATCTTGGTGAAATATTTCCATGCTAGTAATCAGAGTCCATCTTTTAAGCTCTGCTTCTTCTGTGGGATTTGATGAGAGGGGCTTAGCACCTACAGGAGTTGTCTGAGTGGGAGTAGGACTAAGTAGGTCAGGCATATCCTACTTGTAGGGTTTACTTAAGAAAACCCTTTGAGGAAAATCCCAATATCATTCTCACCTTCTAGAGAGGAGGTCAGCCTGCCAATGGTCACAAAGGAGCCCATTCCCAAGACTCGCAACAGAATTTTGTGAAGAAGTTGTCACCAAATTTGCAGCCACATTTGCTGTCATCTGAAGACTTGGTGGGAAAAGGGAGTCACCAGACTGCAGGTATATCCTCAGATCCAAACTGTAGCTGTTGCTCATCTTCCTCTCTAATCTGTGTGAGACTGCAAGTCCCTGCCACAAAATGTGTGGAAGACAGGGCAATCTTGTGTGCCAGCATCAGGAGGTACAGGGTACCAGTACTCCTTTCTGGGAAGGTAACTGCAGTTGTATGGATTCTGCTGAGTCTGGGGGCTAAAGCCCTGCTCTAGGCATTGAAGGATGGGAACTGCTTGGACATTCTTTTAGCAAGAATGTGCTCAGGTGCTGGGGTGTTCACATGTACAGCAGAACTTGCCTCAGGACAGAAGTTCATCCAGTAGATGAGCTCTGAGATGTCCCTGTACTTACAGTATGGCTGTAAAGGGGACAGATGGTGTCCAAGCACCTCCCATTGTGGTATTTTAAATGGCATCAGAGCATGACATTTGTTCTGCAGGACTACTGTACTTAATTACTTAATTACTTCTAGACTAAATGTGAAAGACTAAATCCTGAACAGGCCAAAACAGTATCTGTAGTACTGAACCATCCACCAGAGCATTTTGTATCTTTTGTGTGCTCAGACTGAGTCTTCAAGAGCTTGTTCAGTTGTCAGAAGTCCTGCCCTCTCACTGTACCTGATTCTTTGGGGTGAATAGGCACATGTCACAGGGTAACCAAACACATGAAAAGCAGTTGGGAGGGTTCCTTTTTTCCTGTCATTAAAAATATTTTCTGGTTTTTTTGATAAGAAGAAAGAGTGGATGTCTGTTCTACCTCCATTGCTTGTGCCTTATATCTTCCATTCAGCTGAAGGGGAAGAGAGAGAACACAGTTCCAGAGAAGAAATGATGTTGGAGAGAAAGGTGGAAGTTGAACTCTGGCATATCCAGCAGCAGATGCAGTACTACTACAGCAGGAAGCAGGAACTCAAGTAATGCCCCTTTAGCCAGCCTTTCATCACGTTGTCCACTCTGTTGCACTTTTTCTGAGTATCTACCCTAGAAATAATCAGTCTACAGTAGAGTCCACAGTAGAGCTGTGAATGACACAGAGAAAAGTTCCAGAGGTTTTTATTTTCTCGAGTTCACTCCAGGTGAAGGAGAGTGTGTGCATAACTACTTCTGTGGTCAGCCAAGTAGTTTAATTACACCTTTGGCAGCTCTTGCAGAAGCATGTCAGAGGTATCACTGGGTGTAATCAGGAGACTGTACAAATGAATAGGGCAGAGCAGTTGAAATTTAGCTTTTAGTTATTTTATCAAGAGGAGTGAGGACTGAGCTTTTCCAGCTTTCAGTTAAAAAAATTAAATATGGCTGGTATTTGATAACTGCTCTACTAGAACAAGAAAACAGAAATGCTCAAAAGAAATGGGGCTTGGGGGGGATTTAACTGTCAGGAAAAGAAGTAGTCAGGGGCTAGAAGCAGGAGGTGGAGATGACAGTTTTCAGATTTCTCTGCTTTCCAGCATCTTTTGGGTTTTTTTACTTTTTTAAAAAGATTTTAACCATTGACTGGTTTGAGACAAAAAAATGGGTCTTATTGCAAGTATCAATTGCAAGTCTAAGTTGGCTCAGACTGTTGAGCTCTTAATTTGGATAAGAATCCTTCTAATCCATTTTATCAGGTGCTGTCAGCAGCAGGCACAGATTCTGCAGAAGTGGCTGGAAATGAGCAAGCAACCAGGAGCCCAAGATGGCATGCAAGGAGTTCAGGAAGAATTGGGTCAGGTGTGTACACAGCATTTAAATTGAAGCTACTGAAGTGATTATCACTGTGCCATGCACTTAGCCTGAAGGCTGATAGTAGCTGCGAGGAATTGTGTTGTAAGCTGTTAGTAAAATGCCAAGGAAAATTTGTAGTCAGAAGTAGGCTGGGAAGCAGAAGAGGCTGTGTAGATGCCTCTTCCTGTTATTCAGAAGTGTAACTCCTGCTCCAGTAGACCTTTCTGAGGCTATTTCCAAGTATGGATCAAGCTTTCATAGACTCAATCTCAAAATTTTTCTGCAATTTCTCAAGACAATTCCCTGTGTGCAGACTGGACCTGCACTGCTTTCAGGCCCCAGGTTCACACAGCCAGGTGTGGGTACTGCTACTTGACTCCAGCCAGTCCTGAGCTGTTCCTGAGTGACACAATCTGTCATGTACTGGCGCTCAAGTGAGAGAATACAAAAGCTGCTGGAGCAGCTCTGGCTGTCAAAAAGACTAAATATTGTCTCACTGTACAAACTTATGATGATGCTGATGCACTTGTGTTCCTTTCAGTTGCAGGTGAGGATCAACACTCTCACCAAAGCACAGCTGGCCGAGAGACATCACGTGCAGGCCCTGCTTGCCCGCCTGCAAGATATCCAGCTTGGCCTGGATCTGTAGTGCACCTTCCAGCTTCTCAGCTCAGGGGTAGGACTTTCTGCCCCTTTCATAGCAGGGGACAATGGAAGAGATGTATCCATTCACTTAGTTCTATGTATGGAATTTATATTTGATAAATTAATTGAAAATAATTTTGCTTTTTTATTGTTACTCTAGCTGATCAAAACCAAACTGGAGCTACAACTACCTCATGCTGCACTTGCAATACCTAGTTTAGGTTACCTGTCATGCCACAAAGATAAGCAACACAGATAAGACTCTTTATTTCAAAATGTTTGCAATTAAATGAGTTCATGTCAGTAAGTCATACACTTTGACATACAAAAATACCGTGCTACTGATACAGTTGAATTAAATGGATTCTCCATGCAGGAGAAATTCACAGCATTATCAGTACCCTCAAGGAACTTTTTCACTCCTGGGGTGCATTGCTGGCCCCTGCATCACAAGCAATGTTGGTTTATTAGCTCGCTCTGCACAGTATTAAAACCATCATAACAACAGCCACTTGCATGCTGAATCCTCTCTTTCTTCTGAGATTTCTAATAAAGCAAACATCAAACAACCCATCCTCCATCACTAGGCTAATATTTACCTTCAGATACTGTAGATGATGCTGCTAAGTAGGAAGAAATTAAAGCTTAAACTTCCTTTGGCTCTGTCTGGATGTCACAGACCTCAGTGGAAAAGAAGGAAAATATTCAGTTGTCTTTTTCTCTCATTTACTGGAACAAATTTGCTTTCTCTTGTTAACATGACACTGAAATTTAATCAGAAAGCTGACTCTAACTTTATCCTCTTGGTGCTGATATTTGCCTTACTCTTTTCTCACTCTCAAAGATTTAAAAAGACTTCTATCTGATACTATACTGCTGCAGGAGTAAACTTGCTAATACCAAGAATTATACAAGATAGGTGGCTGAGAGCCACTTCAAGCTTTCAAACTCCTCCCTGTGCGAGGAAACACTGACTCCTGGAGCCAAATGAATTTTCTCCTGCTTGTCACCCAAACAGCCACCCTCATCTGACTCACGCCTGGGCTACATCACTTAGAGGCAGTCTGTCGTCCCTTCCTTCCCGATGACAAGCTAAGCATACAGGACTTGGCAAACTGGACATTTGTACAACAAAATTATATTCTATCTTCTGCAGTGCATACAAAGAAGGGTTTCTTTAGGAGATCAGAGCTCGTCAAAGCCTCTCATCTCCTTGAAGTAGCAGAAAAGAGCTCAAGCAAGGAAGTAGTAGGAGAAATCTTTCAGAAAGCACAAAGGCAGGTTTCATAAGCGTGTCCACTCCAACAAGCTCTGGATAGCAAAATCAGTTCTAAATGTTTGAGTGCTGGGACTTGAAACAGTTTATTATCAAAAACCAATTTATACATTGCTTTAAAACTCAATTCCTCTTCACTCTGGCAGTGGTTTTTGTCAGTGCCACATGCAGTAGATCCAAGGTGTCAGACTATAACTCTTCTTGATGTGAAGTCACAAAGAGGCTTTAAAATTTTACAGCACAGATTTCAGCCCCCAGCACATTCCTAGCATTAAGTATGAGGGTACAAGTCAGAGCCAGTGTGTTTTTTTGTTTTGTATTTTGAATAAGATGAAGTTGTTGCCTAGTCAAGGGAGGGCCAGATTGGTACCTGGGAAGTAACATGGGATTTCTTTAAAGAGCCATAAAAATTTTAAACACAGTCAGTGCATAGGCATAGGGCATTTCACTCTCTATAATAAAAATTGGTCCTGAAGTAGCTGAAGCTGTCCTTTAAGAGAGGAACTAGTTCTTCAATAATTTAGTGACAAAGTAACAAGATACATAGCAGAAAGAAAAAGCATACTTTAGTTGCCATCACATCACCCAGCAAAACTATGCCCTGTGTCTTCTAACTCTTTAATCCAAGAGATGAAGTTAACTGTCTTTCATAAAGACAAAAACTTTAAGGCCTGGAATAGCAAAATAAAACAAATAAAACAATGGATTAGGAAGAGGACACAGAGCTGTGTCTGTCTGTAAAAAAAAAAAAAAGAAAATCGCAATATGACAAGTTCTGTTGTCTGGAATGTAGACACTTTTTTCAGGTTTAAAATACAGTGCAAAGCCCATTTTTAAAGGGACAATGTCAGACAAAAGAACTAAAGTTGTCTAACAATACAAAACTCAGGATGAGGGTCACTCATTGTACTGACTGACTGTTACACATTTTGCTTTGTTTGGGCCATGAAGCCACACCAGCAAATTTTACTGTTTGGCCATCTGTGAATTCAGAGACTGCTTTTATCTAGCAACTTGGGTGGAGTTTCTTAGACTAAAATAAATATGAGAATATATTCTTTACTCAAGGTCTGAAAAACAGATACTGTAGAGAGAAGGTACAAGGTCTGACTCAGCCTGTCAGTGTCCCTTTAAATACAGGTAATCTCTACCTCCACCCTTTCCCACTGCACCTGCCTAGGAAGGCTTAAAAGGGACTTAGAGGCTCTAAGAACATAATTATCCTGTGGCACATTCAGGGGAGAACATGAAAGACTACAGGCACAGGGTGGGCCTGAAACCACCATGGGCAACATCTTTAAAGGCAGCTGTACCCGATACATCCATGATCATTCAATTCAGTTTCTACATTCAGCAGCAGGTAAATGTAGACCAAATACTATCAAGTTTAATGCAGCAGTGACGTCTTCCTCCTCACCCAGGTCCTGCTGAGTGATACAAACTTGATAAGTGAAACACTCAATGGTGTGAAAAGAGTCCCTTTTTATACAAAATCTTCTTGCTGAGACAGTTCCTATAGAGAGCCCAGTGCTTCTCCAAAGCGGATTTTCTGTCCAGCTTTGAGGTTGAATCTGAAGTCCTTGGGTGCCTCAAAGATTAGTACGATCGTAGAGCCTAAGTTAAATTCCCCTAAATGTTCCCCTTTCCTCATGGGGATTCCCTCTTTGTTGTTGTTGGATATGAAGCTGAAGTCATTGTAGGAACCTTTAGAGTAACTTGGACTGTTGGTGTGCAAGTCCTGTACAGAGAAGGAAGAAGAGAAGGATTTACTGGAGGATTTCAGTGCTCTGTATTCATTCATCACTACAGCCGTGGACTGTACACACTCGTGCATTTTCCACGCATGAACTCACAGTTCAAAGGTGCAATAGGAATATTTTAAAAATTGTCTATATTGGAGACAGCACTGTTTAAATCAGTCTTAGAATATCAGTACTGTGAAACACCCTAATTTCAGGGTAATAAACTTCTTTTTTAAAATTTTGTTATGCTGCACCAACCTCAACCATTAACACCAGAAAGGTGCCTACTATGATCCTGCTCACCTGGTCAAAGTAGATGCGGATGGAGCCCACGTTTGTTGCTCCTACAGCTGTTAATGAGAAGAAGCCATGTTTCCAGTCACCTGTAAGAACAACCCGTTCATTGTGGCAGAACAGTTCCTTGATCCAGCGAGCAACTCCAGGATTGACAGACATCAGAGAGCCTGAAGAAGTGAGAAAATATTCAGGTTAGCTTGTCTGGTTTGTAGCAATATTGTAATGCCACTCAGATGGTGTTTTCAGTGTAACTGGAGCTGATCCAGTAAACAACTCTGTCAGTTATTTGTAGGAAGAGAGGCAAGTGCCAGGCAGAGCAAATGAAAGAGAAGTCTGTGCTGAAAACAAAGGGGTCACAGAAGGATGCGTGTGGTGGGTCAGTCTCTCTCTCATGGTGTTTGAAACCAAATCCAAATACTTAGGGTTTTGCTAGATACCAAGAAGTAAAATATTTTTATCTGCAAGAACATCCAATCCCAGCTCCAGTAGTGTAACTGTTCAGTTGCATTTTCTTTGCCAAGCACAAACAGAGATCATACTTTAGGCTACTGTTTGGTGTGATCTGCAGAACTATATTTCAGGTGCAAACTGAATAAACATTGTTTGGAAACAAATCAGGTCAACGTGAATCCAGGGGTACTTCAAAGAACTCAAACAGTTTGAATACAGTATTACTGTTTTTACCATTTTTATGTGATTTGCTCTGGTAAACTATACAGCTGCAAAACTCATTACTGTTTGAGACTAATCACTTTTCTACCATTGTATATCATGTTACTGTACAACTTCTGCACTGCTGTGTCTCATTCTGCAGAGGCCCATAGCAGTGCTTCCCTCCATAGCTGCTCTGCAGCTGTTTCCTAGGAACAGAAACCAACCTGGGAAATGCCGTCGGTGTGACACTGTCCAGTCCGTGGGCGAGTGGAAGCAGTGATAATCCCCTGGTGCAAGGTAAATTACACAGTGGTAGAGCTCATTCCCCTCCTTTGTGACCAGTTGTTGCTGAAAAGAGTTACCAGGTGGGGCTGCAGAAAAAGCAGGGAAAGGAAGGGGTTAAAGATACTCCTTCTGAAGTCACCTGCCATAGCCAGGCAGTCTGTGTTAGAGCCAGTGCAATAGTAGAGGATTAAATGCACCCCACGTGGATTGGTGAGGCTACAAACATAGGTTTCTTGCAGAAATCCAGTATTTCCAAATGTTCCTTTCCCTTTACAAGAAAATTAGATCCTGGATTGTTTCAATCACAGTGAAAAATTTTCTTTTGGAGTTTGCCCTTCCCTAAGCAAAATAGCAGAAACCGAAATCCAGTACAAGAATCCAGAATTTTTATTAAAGCTACCCTTTAAGAACAGAATTTGTGGAGAGTCCTCTAAGTCATTAGAGGGGTAGTGCTTGAGCATGGATCTTGTTAAGGAGTAGCTCATCCAGTTTTTGCTAGCCAGTGCTTGGGCTCATTTCAGTATGACAGCAGGACTGCTGCAGCCATGGTATAGCAACGGATCTTGAAGTACCGTGTAGGAACCAAGCAACTCAGTTCAGATAATCAGAATGAGCCAGGCATGACTGTATAAAGCCACTGGTGAGAAAGAGAAGAACTAGAGCAGCAACACAGTTACCCGCAAATAAAACAAACCAAAAATCAGACTTGCTTTTGTTCCTGACAGTGCAAGAAAATGTTACTTTTTTTCATCTCTCTTAGTCTTATGATTTCTGAGAACACTGAAAGGGCACAGCAGAACTGACACAGAACTCACCCTGGTTAAAATGCATTTCCTCTGTGGAGATGCGAGGTCCCAAGAAAGATTCCAGAGAATAAGTAACCCCCTTTACTTGCTCCACTTCACAATTTTTTACCTGTCCAAAATTAAGGATCTTTCCATCAGAGGGACTAATCTACAGCAAAAAGAAAAAATGGGAACAGTCAGCAGTTCATTATTTCCTCACGAAGCAGTGCCATTGCTCTGGGGGCTGAGGGAAGTGGCAGCGCTGGGTAAAGCCCTCCCTTCCTTTCACTCACCACACTGTGCACACAGCACACCGGCCGCGCCTGTGGTTTCAGCTTCCTGCGGAAGAACTCGCTGAGGTTCCTGTAATGATGCAGATCCTCCACAGCTGCCTCCTTCATGTTCACCCCGAAGGTCCAGATGTACAGGCTGTACACCGGCTTGCGCAGCCACGTGGGCAGCTCCACCTGGTTCAGGCGACCCCAGGCTCGGGAGAGCAGCCGCGTTGGCACCGACTTGTACAGGGCAACCTGAAGGGAGAATTGCAGCAGGTCAGTGTTCTCCCCACTGAAGGCTTCCTTACTTCTCCCCGTAACACGGGAAGGATCAAACTGTTCCTGCAAACCCCTCCCTTGAATTCATGGGTTACAAGCAGCATTTAAGCAGCAAAAAATTTGCACTGCACTTCATCTTCATTCCCTCCATGATGAGAGACAGGATGAAACTTAATATAATTTTAAAGTGAAGCCAGAATTTCCAGTCCCTTGCAGGCTGATGCTCCACACTGAAGTTACTGGAAACTGCCCAATGTGGGGCTTACAGAAAAAAGAGACATTGCACATTATTCTAGTAGAATGTTAATCAAAAAGGTTTAACATTACCAATGTATAAATTTTTGTGAATAACTAAATGAAAATTGACTGGAAAATAACTTCTCAGTGTTGGATGACATGTTCCTCAGATGCAGCTGCTACTGAAGGTGTTTCCCACACCCAGTACTGTGTTGTATGCTCTAATGACACAAGTACCATCAAAGAAATGTACCCACTGGATGCAGCTACACAGGCGTAAACTTGTACCGGCCTTACTCCTTCTCTCATGACAGTGGGAGTTGCTAATTACAAGAATATTAAGTGCCTTTATTTCTCTAGAATTACACCTTTGGACTTGCACTAAAACCCAAGTTTTAGCAAGGAAAACAAATGAAACAAAGTTGGCAAGAGTTATCTGCTGTTGATGGAAGTGGAGAGATGACAACATCTTTCTGTTGATAATTCCAGCAAACAACTCTTCTGGGGTTTGTGGTACTTGCTGTCAGCCAGGAAGCTCACATGGCTATGATGTAACTGGGGGAAGCTGGGGAATATGGACCAAGGGAACTGAACACTCTGAAATCAGCTTTGCAAAGGAAGTGATGATCTGCTGACTGGTGTTTTTGAACAGCTTGCAGATAAACCTTGGGATTTTTCTTAGTGAGAGTCATTTGTTCTCAATCATATCCTTCATTATTAAGTCTTGCAAAACACAGCCATAAACACAAACAGAAGTATGCACTGGCTCCATCATACCAAATACAGCAAATTAAGATTTTACTTACAAATAACCATCCTGTGTACATACAGGGATATTTCGGAAAGGAAGTACCAACCTAATCTTCAGATAAAACCTTCTAAATGAACAGTGCTTTAGATTATCTAAGCTGAAGGACTGAAGAA